GCACCTTGGCAATAGCCAACAAACCACCAGTACATATGTTATGGCAAGTCAAGGCTTTGTAGACCATTGCAGAATACACATAGTGGAAGCTAGTTTGTTGAATCATTTAAAGCAATGCGAGTGATCATTATGTATTGCTCTGTCAGGCAGATCTTAAGAAGTTCCAAGTGTATTTGAAATAGAACAACATAGCAGCTAGGAAACAAGCTTTTACATATGTAGAAACATTTTATACCCTTTTTCTGTCTTTATTGTTATATATTTTTCTTTTCTTTTCTCTTTCTTTTTTTTTCTTTTTTATTCTATTTGTATAGGAAATCGCCTCAGACTGAAAAGGATATTCGCCTATGACCCTTGCTAGCCTACTCAGGCCTCTTTTAAACACTCTAAAAGATACCTAAATGCTGTTCACCTTGGCCTAAAGAGAGTGAACCGTATTGAATACTATAATATTACTGTAAGCACTCAGAAAAAGATTCAGTGTTCTCTAATTCCCACTAAAGGTAATTTGTATTTCCTGCAAAAGTTTTAAAGGCTTATATTACCTTGCAAATATTGCCAGACACATTTTCTGTATGAGTTCATAAAAAGATATATTTTGAAGATCTGGGTCTACTAATATTTTGACAAATGAAATATTTCCAAATTTAAGGTTTGGCAACATTAGGAATGAAAGACATTATTCAGGTAATTTTTTTGAGTTACTGAATTGGATCTTCAGTAGATACAAATTGAACCAAGTGAAGAAGTGACATCATGAACTCAAGTGGCCATCCAGACAGAATGGTCACATGTGTGTGCATGTATATCTTCATGTGAGTGGCTGTGTACGTGCGTGTATGTGCGTACCTTATAAGGTAGACATGTTATCTTTCAAGAGAGATAAGACAAGTTCTCAATTAAATGTGATAGTATATCATGCCATGATGTATTTTATTTTATTTTTTTTTATGGAAAAAGTGAAAAGGAAACAAATAGTTAAAAAGCAGAAAGTAGAAAGGTAGAAAAAGCATACATTGTAATTTTCTTAGAAGATTTGAGTGATTTTGTGACTGTTACAGAGTAGTTTTATGGGAGAGTGAATTTTACTTGTTCTATAATAAACATAAGTATAAATGAAAAGACATTTTAGTGCAGATTTTATATATATATTATAGTATATATATTATATATATATATATATATATATATATTATATATATATATTATATACTATATTATAATATCATATTGTGGGAAATAACATTAGCATGCAGCTTCAGATAGATATAAGCAAGAATTTGAGCCCAAGTCTTATAAATGTTGTTATGTTTGGGATTCAACATATTGTTGCAAATATTACCAGAGTTGTGCAAAGATGTTGTTATGGCTAATATTATAAGTACATTTGGTTATCTTTTGGACATATAATCGATGCTTTATGACTGTAGTTGATACTATAAAATATAAGATATAAAATTCTGTTTTGGGGACTCAATTTTGGCTGTATTCATAAATATATGGTTTGATTTCAGTTTGAACTGTTAGTTGCTTTCCAATGGAATAGGCAGCCAGGTGCAAATGCACTTGGCTGTAGTCATCTCATTTAATTGTAGCCAAATATTTAGAGCCTCCAGAGGTGATTCAGTGACTGAGGTTTTAGGCTTAGTGTTTGAGTCAGTAATTTCTGGTTTACTACCATTATGTAATATCCGAAATTAGCAAAATTTCCCTGGCTTTTTTTAACATCATTTATGGGTTCAGTGCTAAAAAAATCAGGTCTCTCCATGTAAGCTTAGCTTTCTGTTAGTTTGCTTATCTCTCTCCTTATTTGCTGCATTCCAGTCTTCTCTTCCAATTCCTACCTGTCACTTCCTCTTTTTTCTGTAGCACTCTCCCCCTCCCCCTCCCCCATCTCTCTCTTCTCTCTCTCTCTCTCTCTCTCTCTCATCTCTCCCTCTCTCTTCTCTCTCTCTCTCTCTCTCTCTCTCTTCTCCTCTCTCTCTTCTCTCTCCCCCTCCCTCTCTCCCTCTCTCCCTCTCCGCCTCCTCTCCTCTTCCCTCGTCTCCTTCCTGTCCCTTCCTCCCTCCCTCTTCCCCTCCTCTCTCTCCCCCCTCTCTTTCCTCTCGTCTCTCTCTCTCTCTCTCTCTCTCTCTCTCTCTCTCTCTACTTCTCCTCTCTTCTCTCTCCTCTCTCTCTCTCTCTCTTTCTCTTCCTTCCTTCTCCTTCTATCTCCTCTCTCTACTCTCTATCTCTCTTATCTCCCTCCCTTCTCTATCTCCCTCCTCTTCCTATCTCCCTCCTCTCGTCTCTCTATCTCTCTCTTCCCTCCCTCCTAGCTTCCGCCTCTCTCTCCTCTCTCTCTCTCTCTCTTCTCTCTGCTCTCTCTCTCTACTCTCTCTCTTCTCTCCGCCTCTCTCTCTCTCGCTCTCTCCTTCTCTCTCTCTCGCCTGTCTTCGCTCTCCTCGTCTCTCCTCTCCTGTTCTCTTCTCTGTCTCTCTCTCCATAATCTTCTCTCTCTGCTCTCTGCTCTCTGGTGTCCTCTCTCGTACTCTCTCCTCCTCTCTCTCTCTCTCTCTCTCTCTCTCTCGCTCTCTCTCTCTCTCTCGTCTCTCTCTCTCTCTCTCTGTCTCTTCTCTTCTCTTGCTCTCATCTCCTCTCTCTCTCTTCTACTCTCTCCTCTCTCTCTCTTCTCTCCTTTTCTCTACTCGTCTCTCTCTCTCTTCGACTGCTTCTGTACTTTCATCTCTCTGCACTCTCTTTTCTCTTCTCTCTCCTTCTCTCTCCTCGTGTCTCGGTCCCTCTCCTGCCCCTCCTGCTCGCCTCTTCCTCCTCTCTGGCCCTCTCTCCCCTCTTCCCTTCTTCCCTCCTCTCTCACGTCTCTGTCCTCCCCCCCTTTCTCCTCCTCCCGTTCCTGCCTGACGCTCCTGCTCTCGGCTCTCTCTCTCCCTCTCTCATCTCCTCTCTCTCTCTCTCTCTACCTCTCTCTCTCTGCCTCTTTTTTCTCCCTCTCTCTCCTTCCTCCTCTCTCTCTTCTCTCCCCCCTTCTCCGTCCTTCCTCTGCCCAGCTCTCTCCTCCCCCTTCCGCTCCCATTCCCTGATCCTACCCTCCTTCTCTCCCGCCCACTCCTCTCTTCTCTTCTCTCTTTCCTTCGTCTCTCCCTCCCTCCTTCGTTCTCCGCCTGCTGCCCACTCCCGTCCCCTCGCGTTCCCCGCGGCCTCTCCCACGCTCCCGTTCTCCTGGCCGCGCCTCCCCTCAGGCCCTACTCTTCTCCTCCTCCTTCTCCTCATTCTCCCCGCCCTCCTCTTCCCTCTTCGCCTCCTCCCCTCTCCTGCTTCCTCTGCTCTCTCCGGTCTCTCCTCCTTCTACTCATACTCCTTACCTATCCCTCCCTCCTCCCTTCCCTCCCTCCAGTCCCTTCCTCCCGCCTCCCGCCCGCTCCCTCCCTCCCTCTCCTCCCTCCCGCGTGGCTCTTCTCTCTCTTCTCTTCTCTCTCTCTCCTCTCTCTTCTCGTCTCTCCTCGTCTCTCTCTCGTCTCTCTCTCTCCGCTCGTCTTCTGCCTTCTCTCGTCTGTGCTCTCTCTTCTCTCTGTCTGTCCTCTCTCTCTCTCTCTCTAAGTCTATCTATCTCCGCTCCTATCTCTCCCTCCGCCTCCTCCCCTCGGCTCCTCCCCCCCCTCCCCCTCCCTCTCCTCCATCTCCCTCTCTCTCTCCGTTCTCCTCCTCTCTCTTCTCTCTCTCTCGTCTCTCTCTCTTCTCTCCTTATCTCTCCTCCTCTTCTCTCTCTCTCCCGTTTCTCTCTGCTTCTCTCTCTCTCTCTCTCTGGTTCCCTCTCCTTCCTCTCTTCTCTCTCCTCTTCTCCTTCTCTCCTCTCTTCCTCCTCGCTCTTTCTTCTCCTCTACTCTTTCTTCCTTCTCCTTTCTCTCGTTCCTCCTCTCTCTCTTCTCTCTCCTCTTCTCTCTCTCCTCTCTCTCTCTCTCTCTCTCTCTTGTCTCTCTCTCTCCTCTCTCTTTCTCTCTCTCTCTCTCTCTCTTCTCTCTCTTCTCTCTCTCTCTCTCTCTCTCTCTCTCTCTCTCTCTCTCTCTCTCTCTCCTCTCTCCTCCTCTCTCTCTTCTCTTCTCTCTCTCTCTCTTCTCTCTCTCTCTCTCTCTCTTTCTCTCTTCTTTCTCTCTTCTCTCTCTCTCCTCTCTCTCTTCTCTCTCTCTCTCTCTCTCTCTCTCTCTCTCTCTCTCTCTCTCTCCTCTCTCTCTCTCTCTCTCTCTCTCTTCTCTATTCTCTCTCTCTCTCTCTCTTCTCTCTCTCTCTCTCTCTCTCTCTCTCTCTCTCTCTCTCTCTCTCTCTCTCTCTCTCTCTCTCTCTCTCTCTCCTCTCTCTCTCTCTCTCTCTCCTCTCTCTCTCTCTCTCTCTCTCTCTCTCTAACTCTCTCTTCTCTCTCTGGATCCATTTAGTACTAATGGTATTTTTTGGTATTGTTTTACTCCCATTTTTTGTGTCATGTAATTTTTTTGCATTATCTAGATTACTTTTATTAGTATTTTGATCATGTCTACTGTATGATTTTATCATACAAGAAACAATATGGAATATAATAACAAATAGTCAGGCTTATAGTTATCATTAGTGTACTATGGTCATTGTAACCACAAGTATATATTATTAACATTGTTATGGTTTGTAGTTGTAGTTGAAGTAGTTTTGCTTTCATAATTGCCATTATCATCAGCAAGATCATGTGTTTTATCATTTTTATTGTTATTTATATATGTGTTAAGCTTTAAAGAGATATATGCATTTTACATTATGAATAAGCATTGTTTATCATATTGACTTGTATTTTGTAAAAAAAAATGTGTTATTGCTCCCCGTCATTTCAATAGAAATAATTATCAGAAAATCAGAAAATTGTGTACACCTTCAAGTTCTTTCAGATAGGCTAGATGTTGTGTGAAAGTATATTGCAAAAAATTGAGATACACAAAGATAAGACGTGCAAGGTCATAGAAGTTGGATCAAACTAGTGTAGGAAGAATTCTTAACATGAAAGATTAACAGCCTGCAAAAGCATTTGTTAAATTAGGGAAATCAAAAGTGAACGGAATTAGGTGGATATTTGTCATCTGATACCCTGTATAATGATAACATTACTAACTGAATGGATTTCTTAAGGTAAATAGATATATATTGATATTGATATTGATTTGTTGAATGTAAGAAAGAACCAAAGGTGTACTGGAGAAAAAAGAACTCTCTAGATGGCTCACCGCAATCTCATAACCCAAAGGTCAAAATTGCATAATCACATTTTCTTGCAGCATTGTATACTGAGTGAGATAAACTTATTAGCTAATATTATTGCTCCTGTCTTGTTTACCTCTGAAAATCCTAGAATAACTTCCTGTTATGATATGTAGACTAAACAAGTTTCTTTTTTCTTTCTTTCTTTCTTTTTTTTTCTTTCTTTCTTTTTTTTTCTTTAATCCATAATTTAAACTTGACATATATATGAACTTTCTGAAACAAGTTTCTCATCATCATCATCACCACCATCATCTGTATTTTTTTTTTTTTTTTTAAGTCGTGAAAGGAAAAGATGAGCAACATAGTCTTCTATAAAAGCTGAAATAAATCAAATTATTGTATTTTTGACAACCACCAGGTGATCTTGGTGTAAACATTTATCATTAAGTTTAGGATGGATTTCTATGGTTCAGGGAAAAAGACATTCATCTGAAATATACAGTAGGATAACAGCCATTCTTTGAAAAATGTAATATTTGGATCCTTTTAACTTGAACATATATTTTCTTTAATTGTAAGTGGTACAGCAGTGTGAATAAGACCTTGGTAATGCATTTACTCTGTCTGCATACTGATCAGTACCGCCTGATGCATCCTGAATGGGCCAGTGACCCTGAGGTGGTGTTTTTGTAAACAGTGTTAATGACCTTGGTACATAGTTGATGAAATCAGTGACTACAGATACTATAGCATATAGTGGTGGTTTTATGTAGGTTTAGCTTTTTAAGAATTTTCTCTTCTTTTTTCTTTCTTTCTTTCCTTTTCTTTTTCTTTAAAATTCAGCTTCTTTTCCTTTTTTTCTTCTTCAGTTTTTCCTTTACTTTTTTTCCTTAATGTTCTCTTCTTTATCATGTTCATTTCTTGTCTTCTCTGCTTTTTCACAATGGCTAGCCTACAATCCTTACCCTGCCTTTATCATCTAAATTATTTTTCCTCTTGTTTTTCATCTTTATTATTCTTCCCAATCTCTTTTTTTCAGTTTCGATGCTTGTTCTTTCCTGTGTTATTCATTTTATTTCTTCTTCCCTGTATTTTTATTAACATTCCCCATTTTTCCCCTTTTCCATATCACCAAGCTAAATCACTCTCCCCCTTCCTTCATTTATTTCTAGCATAGATATTTCTGTGATGCAGCATTTCTAGTTTATGTAAGACCCACAGACATTGTCAGTAATCACTGGGTTGTGTATTGTATGTGCTAACCTGTTAATGTCTGGAGTGCATGTCTTCAGGTATATTCTTTACATACAGATGGCACTCAGATCCCACCCTCTCTCTCTCGCTCTCCCTCACTTTTTCCCTCCTTCTCTATCTCCTTCTCTCTCTACCTCTGTCCTTCACTTTAGTGATTATTTCTTGTCACTGCTGTTATTGTTAATGATGTTATAATAATAGGTTGATAATGATTAATATGATTGCTATTAATAAAGGTGATGATAATAGTAGTTGTAAAAAATATGTATATAAATTTGTAATGGTAAGAACAATAAATATGAGAGCCTAATGAAATTGGAAATAGATGTAAAATCTTGTTTCCTCTGAATTGAAGATAAACAGTAAACGGGTGAGAACAGGTATACATCGTGATTAACTCCTTGGTGATTAAGCTCTTATGAAGCCATCTGTGTTAACAAAATTAATGAAACAAGTCATGGTGAACAGTAGATGTACCTTAAAACAATTAAGACCTTGGTTGCCATCTTTCTTATGATTGTTATGTTACCTTTTCCAATATTTTTGTTTGTTTGTTTGTTTCTTCTTCTTTATTATTGTTATTTTTATTATTATTTTGTTATTGTTGTTGTATTATTGCTGTTGTTGTTAACATTATTGTTATTATCACCATCATCATCATTATTAGTCTAATTATTATTCATGTATTACTCTCTATTTTGTTTTTATTTGTTTAGTGTCATTAGTATTATATTGAAATCATCATTATGAACATTGTGGTATATTTGATTTCATCATATGCGAGTTCATTTTGAATAATGCATGTTTCTTTACAGTTGATCATCATGTATAAATGTTATCCAGTATCATTTTTCACTTTTCAGTAGAGGGGACCAGTATTTTATTTTATTATTATTGTTATTTTTGAAAGTTTCAGTGTGAATGCTGATCTGTTCATTTATGTTTATACCTGCCAGTGTTCTTATTGCTGTTGTATTTTAGGTGTATTTTCACAAATCTTTTTATTCCTTTATGAAAATAATTTTTGTA